GGGGGGGGGGGGTCAGTAGACAGCAAAAGCAACACAGCCTGACGACATACACAGTGTGGTGTGTGTGTGTGTGTGTGTGTGTGTGTGTGTGTGTGTGTGTGTGTGTGCGTGCGTGCGTGCGTGCGTGCGTGCGTGCGTGCGTGCGTGCGTGCGTGCGTGTGTGTGTGTTAATAAGAGACCCTGAGACAATGACAGACACCAAGCCCTAATTAGGTTGTCATGCTGAGAGAGCGAGGGAAAAAGGAGAAAGAGAGAGCTTATTAGGGAGGAAAGGTGTCAAACTCTGGCAGGAAAAGGAGGTGGGTGGAGAGCAACGGAGGGGGAAGATGAGGGGATGAGGGAGAGGGCGATGAGGGGAGGTAAAGTGAATCTGGTGCAGATAAAAACAGGAGACGGTGGAGAGGGAGCAAATGGAGGAAGATGGAACAGGAACTAGAAGAAGAAGAGATGGAGGAGGAAGAGGTGTTGGAGATGGAGGCAGCTGGAGAGATTAAAGGACGTTGAAGGTGGTGAAGGTGTGCAGAGGAGGGAGGCAAACAGGATCAAGTAGAGAGGGGAGGTGAAGATTTGTGACACAAAGGAGAGATGTTTTTCCGAAAAGTGAATGATGGTAAATGACCTCCAATGTTGATCAATTAAAGAATTCTGTTTACTAAATGTTGGGTCTTGCTTTCAGTATTGTTTCGACTGGTAAACCCATTAGTTATGAAAGCTCACCAAAATAATTGTTGATGAGATTTTTGAAAATAAATTAGAATATCTAGACGTAACATATTGACCTTTAAAACACCTTTTTTTTAAAAGGGCCACTTCAACTTAGCCATGTAATAAGAAATCCTAATGACCAATTGAAACAATTAGGTACAGTAGGGCCATACCAACTCAAATGAATGCTTCCAAAAATGTTTGATAATGACCATTTAATCATTCCAAAAAATATCCGGATGAGGAATGTTACCTTTAAGCATATTAATTACATTAAAACAACAACAACCATGCCTCATCATTACTACAAAATAAGCCAGGACATGATCTTGTCCCTATGGATATTGGCTGACAGGAGGCCACATATTTACTTTATACAGATTTACAAGAGGGCATATTTTAAGTTAGTTCATTATGCACAGACACACCATCCGCTTGCAGGTAAACAACACTGTAAGCTTTGTTCTGGGCTATAAAGCCAACCGGTACACAACTTGATACCCCACCACCCCCACCACCACCAACCTAGTATCAAACAAATGTACACAGACACAAACACACACGCTACACATCACAAGGACTCGGGCCAAATTCCGCTGTAGTGCCAACAGTAAATAAATATTCAATTGACTGAACTGGCAGCATTCCATGATATATGCAAGTGCACACACACACACACACACACACACACACACACACACACACACACACACACACACACACACACACACAGACACACACACACACACATGATCTGCAATACCTCTAGTGAAAGTTTTAAATATTGTAAACAAATGTAATAATGATAATACAGTTTTGACTTAGTTTACTGACTTTTTATTATTTATACTAAGAATCCAAATGTACAGTATATTGTATGGTAAAAATCTTTAAATTATTTAGATACCAAAGATTTTGAACCAGATACCAAAGTTGGCAATAAACTTGATTCTGATGATAAAATATTGAAATGTTTTAAACTCTATTCAGTTGTGATTTGTAATATTGATAACCTTGGCAAGGTTGACTTTCTTCAAGCAACCTCAAATAAAATCGAAAATAGTGCTGGAATGGGACCGGAGAGCTTGCTGACATTTGAGGATTATGAAGTTGTTAGTCTGTTTCATAATTGCAATTGTTTGTCAGTATATATGAAAAGAATAGGTTAGCTAGCCATCTAACCAAAGATCTGCAATAATATTGGAAGATGTCATGTGATCCCATTGTTAACATAAGCCAATAAAACTTCAATTTTAGATATGTTTCCAGTGACAGTTTGCCAACTTTATAATCCCCCAGCGCCAACAAGCTCTCCGGTCCCAGCTAGGTGCATCACTTTTGTGTGTGCCCTTTTCAGTTGATGTACAGAGCTTTTGAAACTGCAGCACGTTTCTCCTAATATAAATGTTTAGGGCAGTTGTAACGTTGTCCAAATGTCTGAAATTGTGATGTTACCTTAGTACACAGGTGTAGAATCCATTGTCTTCCATTTCAGCAGATCTGAACCAGATCGAGTCGTCTTCTTTACTCAGTCTATGACCAGAGAAGATGATAGGCTCCTAAAGGACCCAGTACAAAGTCAGTGTTAGAGCAATAATTATGGCTGTCATTTAAATATAAGAGTCATTTAAATAAGGAGACATACATTCCCTCTTCCCTTAAGGCAGTGGTTCTCAAACGGGGGTGAGCGGACCCCTAGGAGTACGTTGGACTACTGCATGGGGTACGTGAGATTTATTTTATGTTAATGAAATGTAAGTAATGCATTTAAAAAACTACTAATAGTAATTAACTACTTTATTCAAAAGTTTAAAGTAATTCTGGATAATACAATGGGAAAAAGAAACGGGATGCTCTCTTTTCCTCTCCCTCTCCTGACAGCCCGTCAGTCTCGTGCAGCTTGCTGAACCTGTAATAAGTGAGTGACCCGACAGTAAAGAATACATATATTTCTTATAACTAGTTTAGCTAGTTCCAGATTAGATGAACTAGCTAAGTGTGTTAGGTCTAACTCTTAGTATATTTTGCTCCGACTGAACGGTCCGGACCTCTTGATATAGGCATTTCTTCCTTAACAAATAGTTTTTGCGCTGATCAGGGGGCACTTGGCTGAATTTTTTTTTCCAAATGGGGTACATCGGGGGCACTGCCTTAAGGTATAGATAATATAATTAGAATGTTATAGCAGCAAGGCAGAGAAATAAATGTAAATGCTCCGACATATGTTTGCATTAAAGTGCTACCCAGAGGTGATTATGTGGAGATGTACAGTAAATTACATGTATATCCAGCGAGTCTAAAATGTAATCCAGCTAAATCTGTTTGCCATTCAGATATAACCCACAGTGGCAAGGAAAAGGGAACACCTGTTGTGTTATTAGCAGCAGGGCGGGTGCCCACACTTTTTCAGCTTGGGAGACTACGTTTAAAATGACAAGCACCAAATGATCTACCGGCGCGCGAGCGGCCGCGGCGGCTTCCCAAATCTCAAAATTCCTGCTATTACGGGGGCCCCCTGTCACGAGTGTGGGGGGGTAGGGGGGAAGTGCTAGTGCGATAAACGGCGGAGTAACACTGTGGTGGAGCGGAGCTTACCGAATGATATATGCGTTCGGGTAAATGCAGTAGGATAGTGCCTTTGTTTTGTTGTCAGGCTTCAGATGAAGGAAGGTGAGGCCCCTCA